TTTTAAATAGAAATTAAGCGTAAAAATTAAAAGTTGAGATTATTTAGAGGGATTACTTGTTATATCTCACCCCATCCACTTTAGAAACTACAAGAATTTATTCATAGGGACCATTATTGGCGGAAGGTCCCTAAAGTTGGGATTATTCTGTAATAATCAATAGTTGGGATTATTATGAGCGGACCGCCAATAGTTGGGATTATTACTATCAATTTTTCCTTTAAACTAATATATTTATGTAAAAGTTAATAAATTTATATTTTTATGATAATATTTTCAACAAATAACATTTTCATATAATTTTCTTATTATCAATATTACCGTGTATAAATATATAATCGGTCAAAGTTGAACAACTTTGACTTGAAAACTTGTGTTTGGCAAACTAAAAAGGGACGGAGGGAGTAATAAAATAAGACAAAATAATGAAAATTAAGGCAAAGCCAAATTCCATTCGTACAAGTAATGGCGAATTTTGGCAGCCCTACTGATGATGCCAAATTCCAGGGCCGCAGGCTACTTTTTAGGATGTTTTCTTTTGGACTGAAATTTGCTGGTCTGGTCTGGTCTGGTCTGTTTAAGTCTGGTCTGGTCTGGTCTGAACTGGTCTGGTCTGGTCTGGTAAACGTCTGGTCTCTGTGTATTTTATAACTACGAAAGTTTGGTCTGGTCTGGTCTGGTCTGTTTAAGTCTGGTCTGGTCTGGTCTGTTTAAGTCTGGTCTGGTCTGGTCTGGTCTATTTAAGTCTGGTCTGGTCTGGTCTGGGACTGAAAACAGTCCAAAAGAAAACATCCTTATAGTTGCACGCTTATCTATTTCTATTCAACAATGGTTGTTGTACCCATTCTTATACCTACCTTATACCAATCATGTTTGTGAAGTATTTTTTCTTGTCTGTGAATCTGATTCACAGACAATATTTTGTTTGTGTAAAATATTGTCTGTTAACCGGGATTCATAGAAAAAAACACTTCACAAATATAGGTGAGTACAAAAGTGGGTATAAGAATGAGTACAAACATCATTTTTGTTTTCCATTAGACCATTCATTACTCCGTTCTACATACGGAATACGAGTACCAACTTATACGAAGTGGACAATTCTCCTCTTATCTAGGATATTATTTCTTAATTAGATTTTCATTTGAATTTTACAATTTTATAGAAATTGTAATGTATTTTATGAATATACTGCATACGTTCTCTTTTAAATGCAATATTGAATTTTTCGCACTATTCACATGTTCTATAAATTAAATTCCTCAGTTTTGTATGCAACATGGACTATAGATTATGGACTCTGTTTTATTTAGAGTAAAATGCATAAATAGTCCCTAAACTATCAGCATCATATCGTTTTGGTCCTTGAACTAATAATTCTACCATTTTAGTCCCTAATCTATTTAATCTATATTAATTCGGTCCTTCTGTTAGTATTTTGACGTTAGACAAACGGAATCTGCTAAGTTAGTGTATGTATGTGTAAATCAACATACTTATTAGACAAAATATAATTTATAAATTTCCTGATTTAATATCTAAATAAATTAGAATGAAAATCACTATCAAATCATAATATAACGCATTGGATGTTTTTATTTGGACTGGAATTTTCTGGTCTGATCTAGTCTGGTATAAATTGGTTTAGTCTGGTAAACGTCTGGTCTCTGTGTATTTTATAATTGTTCAAGTCTTGTTTAGTCTGATCTGGTCTGGGACTAAAAAGAGTCCTATTAAAAACATCCTTACATACATATTCCTTATACGAATTAATATTGTTCAAGTTTTCAATTAAAGTATAACATACTAGATATTGTTTATAAAAATTTTGGAGTCTTTATATGTGTGTGTATAATCACTTATTCATTCATCTATGATATAATAATTATGAATATTACGTCAGTAGATACTCTAATTAAAAATTTATTTATTAAGCTATTATAGTATATTGATCTAATTTAAATCAATTTTTTATTAATCACATTAATTTATGAATTTTCCTTGTTAAATACTACGTATAAATATTACCACTATGCAATAAGATTTTCCTACTATGCACACAACTAAAACTAAAGTTTTCATCCCATTCATACATAACACGTTTTTTTTACTCCAGGGGGTCTGGGGGAGGGGACCTGGAGTAATCAAGGTTAAAACTCATTCCATTGATTTTCAAATCCTTATGTGCCTAGCGGGATTCGAACTCGAAACCTCCCACTAGGCACGATAATCTCACAACCAGCTGAGCTGGAATGCTTGGTTGCATACATAACACGTTAAGTACTTAAGTTTGGGAGTTTTACTAATCTTTATTTTTGCATATGCAATGAGAATATGGTGGAAAACAAAATAAAAAACTATATAGAGTCCAAAGAAATGAAAAAATATTTTGTTAATTTATGAAACATGTAATAACTTCATAAATACTAATAATCAATGATTATGTAATTAATGATTATGTACATATCTTTGTATATACAGAGAGTATGGTTGAAAATCACATAAAAAACTGTTTAGAGTAAAAAAGATGAATTTTTTTTGTCTTGATTAGTGAAGCATTTAATAACTCTATAAACCGTAATAATTAAAAATTATGTAAGTATTTAATTAATAGTTACAATGTATAAATAACACATTACAAATGAAATTAATATAAATATAATAATTGAAAAATAGAAACGTGAAAAAATCAAATTTCATTTGGACACATGAAAATAAAGATATAATGATGTAATATTCTAAAACAAGATTAGCTACTAAAAAATTACTAATATTTGTGTAGTTCCATATTGTGTAAAATTAGGATATCACATTTGCTCTACCGTCAATTTAAACGGAAAGAATTAACGGAAGGACTTGATTAATATGGATCAAATAGATTAAGGACTAAAATGATATATTTAATAGTTTAAGGACCAAAATGATATGATGCTGATAGTTTAGGGACCATTTATGCATTTAACTCTTTTATTTATTTATGTATTATAAATTATTTTTTTTTTAAAATTTCTCTCTTACGTAGTACGTAGTATTAATTTTCAATGCAAAATAATGATTCCTTTTTTAATTTAGTAAAAAAAATGATTCCTTTTGTGCTAAAAGCTTGCCTCTTCTATGCTTTTTTTTTCCTATTCATGTGAGTTAAAAGCTGCAAGCCTCCTATTGAGAAAGTGTGAATTAAAAAAACAGCAAATATATTAAATTTTATTGGTTAGGTAGCCTGGAAAAGTGGTCACTTAGCCGTACAAGGGAGTGTTCCAACTTCCAAGTGGCCCTCCACCATTCCAATTTCTTGGACCGAGTGTTTGCAAGTGGCAATAAATTAAAAAATGTTTTCATTTTTTGACATAAAAAAAGGGAATTGATGTTTTCAAATGATAAATTTTGTTTAAATGAGTACTTAAAAGATAAAAATCCGAATCAAGCGAGAGAATGCTTTAAATTGTTCTTCACTTTTTCTATTATAAAAAATTATTTGTTTGCCAAAAGTTATCAACTTTTCTTTTTCAAATTAATTTTTTAAAAACTTTATCAGCAACTATTAAACATTTTTCTAAAAAATCATTTCTTATACCATAAACAACCACAATCACTCCATAAACTTAAATGTTTAGTGTGCAATAGTAAACAATGGGAGCTCACCATAAATGCAGTTTTAGATTATACTCCCTCCGTCCCGAAAACAACTTCCCACTTTCCTTAAATGGATGTCCCAAAATTAACTTCACACTTCAATACTTTCCTTATTTGGCAAATTATCTACATCAAAAAAGTGATAAACAGTGCCAAACAGTGTTTAAACAGTGCCCAACAGTGTTTGAACAGTGCCAAACAGTGTTTAAACATTGCAAAACAGTGCATTCTACAGTAAAGTCAAATTTATTTCCTAAAAGCGTGTGAAAGTCCAACCGGGAAGTTGTTTTCGGGACGGAGGGAGTATTCGAATACAAATCTTATAAATAAGAGAGAATTCCCTAAATAGGAGTAAAAACGTTTTGAAATTCCAAAATAGGAGTATCATATTTTTTTATTCTCTGAATAGGAGTAAATTTGTGTCAAGTTTGACATTACAAGGCTTTAGACATGCACTAGTGGAAAAACATTAAACTGCGGTGCCTGTTTTGTGACACCTGTTTTGCAACGCTTAATAAATAAGCGCCGTAAAAAACTTAACGAGCGACGCTTATAATTTTAAAGCGCTATCCACCAGTTCGATATATTGAAAAAAATCTTTTTTTTTTTTAAAATGCGTATGACACTTTTTTAAATTAAAGCGTCGCATAAGTTATATTTTTAGTTAAAAATTTGTTTTTCATTTTCGTTCGTGCGGCGCATATTTAAATAAGCGCCACATATATTAAAAAAGAGAGCAGATCGTATGAGGCCGGCCTGACGGGAACCGCCGTCAGGCCGAGGCCATTTGGGGCCCTTCCCGGTGAAATTTTTTGATGAAATTTTTTGAGTATGTTCCTTATCAAGTCTAGTTTATCCATGCCAAATTTCAGCTTAAAATTCAATCGGGAAGGCAGTAAAAAAAATCCCTACCAAAACTGTGCATTATATATATATAAACATTGCAGTTTTCGTAGGGATTTTTTTTGACTGCCTTCCCGATTGAATTTTTAGCTGAAATTTGGTATGGATAAACTAGACTTGATGATGAACATGCTCAAAATATTTCATCAACAAATTCCACCGGTAAGGATCCCAAATGGCCTCGGCCTGACGGTGGTGACCGTCAGGCTGGCCTGACAGGATCGAGACTCTATTAAAAAAAGTTCAATTATACGGAATTAAAGGAGTGTTTGGGATTGCTTTAAAAAAGCGCTTGTTAGCTTTTGACTTAAAAAAGTTGAAAATAGTGTTTTCAAATGACAACTTCTGCTTAAATTAATCACTTAAAAGCAAAAAGCTGGAAGCAGGTAGAAGGGTGTTTTAAACTGCTTCTCACTTTTTCTATTACACAAAAAATACTTATTTTACCAAACACTACTAACTTTTACTTTTTCAGAATCACTTTTTTCTCAAACACTATCAACTTTTACTATTAATCACCTTTCCCAAAATCATTTTAAAAAATCACTTTTAAGCAATTGCAAACAAGCATCGTGTAGAATCCAAATAACCCTAGCTCACTCATCGTTTCTTAGGGAGAGAAGCTTGAAGCCGCCGCAACGTACTTACGTTCGACATACCAGATGGTCTTCACCATCCGCGGCCTCAACCTGGTCAAGGAGAGCGATTACAAGCTCCTCCTCAACGGCGGCTATGTCCACTACGGCCTCTTGATGTCTGCGAAGTGGTTGTTGAACAAAGAGTCCGAGACTCTGATCTGAGGAAGCTTTGGGAGGAGAACGGTAGGAGCCGTAAGATGATTTTCGCTGGTTATTCCTTGAGATCCGGCGTCGCGTCGCTGCTCACGATGATTCTCGTCAATCACAGGGATGAATTCGGCGGTGCCAGCTCGGTGGATGTCTCTCAACTTGGCCGTCAAGTATGCCGACGTCATACACTTTGTCGTGCTGCAGGTGATTATTAAGAGTGATTTGCAGGATTCTAATATGAGTTCAACAATTTCATTAATTAATTGAGCACAATTAGATCTGATCCTTTAATTTAGGCCTGTCTTTGATCTCTCTGCTGCTTTTGATGGATGATTGTTTACCGAGAACTGCCACTCCATTGGAAGATATCTTCAAATCCTTATTCTGGTGAGTTAGTTTTCTGACTTTTTTCTTATTCCACTCCATGGTCTATACCTTCTCAATCATTAAACCAGGCTTTAATGCTTTTAATTACCTTTGCAAGATTCTTGGCCTTACAATAAGTAAGTTAAAACTTGCCTTACACGAGAAAATGTATATACATTTTGGTACACACAGATGTGAGAGGTTTCCTCCAGAAGTAAGAATTGCCATCCCTGTTGATGGAAGATTCGAGCATATTATCTTGCAATGTCACATGCGATCATTGAATTATTTGGATAGAAAGAGAATGCGAAAAAGCATTAGAAGTAAGATTCACTACCAAATTAGGGGTGTTTGGATCCGATTCTTAAAACTGCTTCCCGTCCTTAGGGGAGCAGAATTGGAGTGTTTCTGGTGCTCTAATTTACTTCTATAATCAGTTTTTTTAGAAGTCGGGAGACTAGCTTCTGAAAACTGATTCTGATTCTGCTTTAAAAAAGAAGCATAAGCAGAATCAGTTCCAAACAACCCTTATTTCTAAATAAATGTAGGTGGCGACATTCATTTACCATTATCCATTATGGGATGCTAAGACTGGAAGGAGCGCAAGGAATGATCATAGTGGCTGGTAAAAAGTTGGAACCATTTAAATACGATTACGAAAGAAGCATTCTACGGGAGGATTGGTACCACAAGGGATATCTTGAACAAGCTGCTGGCCTTCTTTCCTCACCCTTAGCTTCCAATGGGTTGGAGAGCCTCAGGTATACTACATATAGCTATTTTTCATTTTACTAGCAACGGGAGGATGTTCATTTTTTCTTAATTTTTGTAGTGTTAATTTTTTATTTTCCCAATTTAGCCCACCTTATTATATTGGCCTTACTAAACAAAGTACAAAAAACAAAATACTGATCTTTTTCTAAAATTTCAAACAATGCGACCATAATCATAATTAAACTCTGCAGTGTAAAGTAACTCCGATCAAAGTGATTCCGACGACAATGACTCCACAGCCACAATGACTCCATCGCCACAGTGACTACGCCACCACAGTGACTCCGCCCCGCCCCGTCCAGTGACTGCAGTCGCCCCGTCCAGTGACTGCAGTCGCCCCGATCAATGATTGCCGCCGCCACTCATTAGTGACTACCGCCGCCTCTCGTTTGTGACTGTCGCCACCTCCGGCTAGTGACCGTCAACACAAGCGCAACTGTTCACCACCACCACCAGCGCCACCACCGACCATTGCTGTCGTCCACCATCGTCAATGACCTGCCGCTACCCTATAGTGACCGACCGGAAACATCACCCTTACACATCTCCTGCGACAACCACCGTCCAACGCCGCCAGCAATCAATCAACCACCTCCGCCATCCGCCATTTTTCATCTCTTTATCCGCCCCCACCGCCAACACCACTATTGCTGTTCGCTACCCAGCCCAAGCCACCAATGCATGCTCCATCATCCCCTAACCCTCAACCATCACAACCTCCGACCATCGACACCCTTGAAAACCCACCGTTGCCCTTGGCCTACACCTAGCCGTACACACTAGCTCCCAAACCCCCTCCCCTGCTCTACTACCCGGCCTTTACACCACCCCACTCCAGCAGCTCCATTTATGAATAGCCCAGCCCCGACTCACCCCTTCCCAGGCCTACCTTCAACAACCCAGCCCAACTTTGACCACCTGGTACCTCAGCCTAGCCACCACCATTCCCAGATCTGGTTTGGTCATTTTCTAATCACCATCTCAGATATGGTAATCCATCCAGATCTCCAGTCTAGCCTATCTCCTAAGGGTCTCCATCCCTGCTGCGAGACAGAATGGGATGAAAACGAAGTCTGGCGTCAGAACTTCTATGGTGCCGTGCGACGAAGTTGTGGAGCTGCGATGGCGAAGGTGTGAATATCTGGTGGCGGTGCAGGACACAATTTCTGACATGCGATGCTTCGACGTTGGCGACTTGCTTCAATGGAGAGGCGATTGCTCGAGATGGAGATGGTGGTGACGCTCAAGATGTTGGGGGGTTTGGCACAACCATAAAGGTGCGTTGTGAAGAAATGTGCAGGGAGATGCGGAAGGGAAAAAGACACAAATAGGACTAAAACATAGGCATGTGAAGCAAATAAGGATGTTTTCTTTTGGACTGTTTTCAGTCCTAGATTTAACCGGACTAGATCAGATCAGACCAGATCAGACTTCCGTAGTTATAAAATACACAAAGACCAAACGTTTACCAGAACAGATCGGACCAGTTCAGACGAGCAAATTTCAGCCGAATAGAAAACATCTTAAGACCCCAAACATTTTAACTCGGGTATAGGACTAATTTTAGATTAAAAGGACAAAAATAGCCTCACTGATATCGCTTGAAGCTATGTACGTTGCTGTAGCATACGCGGCCATTCACTCCAAAGCCGCATGTACCGCTGCAAGTAGAAACTTCTGGAATCCATGGAATAGACTCTGCCATCAGACCTTCGCTGCTGCTAGATTCCACCATCGGCCCTTCGCCACCGGACCCCGCTATCATACTTCCGAACTCCATCACAGATCCTTCACCACTGGTCTCTGTCCTCAGACCTCCCTCACCACACCTTACCACCAGACATCAGTTATATATCATACTACCGGCAACCGCCGCCGCTGAACGGCTGCGCTATCGGCTTCTCTGCAATTGGTATTGCAATTATTGATGAAGAAAGAGGTGCGAAATCATTCCAGATTTGCTAAAAAAATCATGCCGTTGTTGATACAAGAAGTTGATTTGGGTTCAAAATACTGGCACACGAGAGTTTGAATAAAGATAAGATCATTATGTCGAGATTATTCTTGAATCTTGGGAGTTAGTGGGAGTATTTGCCCAGACACTTGTTTGATTCTTCTTTTAAACGCATCTCTAATGCTAAGCTTTCAACATTGATAAAATTGTGACGCATGGCGTTAAACGTATGGAATGTTATACCACATAAGGTGCATGTGAAAAGATGAAAAGTTAAACTTCTCAAACGGCAAACGGTACACAAAGCACACTGTTGACAATGGATTGTTTCATACGTGTGTATCATTTATTTAATAAAAATCAAATGAATTTAATTGCAAAGGAAAAGTTCCTCAATTGCAAAATATAAAACTGAAGTGGAGCTAGGTCTACACAAAAGTTGTACACAAAATTTGTACACTTGTCTGTCCCCCGCAAACAAATTGTCTGTCGGAGACGAATTGTCTGATGGCAGAGTCTATTCCATGGATTATACAAGAAGTTGGTACCACTTGGTACACTTTCGTCAATCGATATTAAAGCTAAATCATCCTTATTAATAATGAATTCGGTTTTAATGATTAAAATTTAGATATTTATTAATATTTGCTACCATAATGTATGTGGATACATGTGCATTTAATTTAGAGTTTCACTCCATGCATCACCATTAATGTATTTTTTCACATCATGCACACAACATTTACACATTTACACATCAACCAGTTCGTGATATATTTGTCGGAAGTGCCAATAGCGGCCTGTAGCGGGCGGCGTAGTAGGAATTTTCTGTTATTTGAAATTCACACCCCGATAGCGGCCCGTAGGCCGTAGCAGCAGCGGTACCTACCGCGAACGCTATATAGCGGCTGCTATAGCGGTAGCGCCCCGCTATTTAAAACACTGGTGAGAAGCAGCGATGAACGGATGCGAGGAGGTGAGAAGCAGCAAAGAAGATAGATTAAAGCTCAATCACCGGAGGTGAAACCTCAAGTTTGGCGATGGGCCGATGGCACTTGCCTGAACTCTGGTGCAAACATTTGAGCGGATGGTCCAGGCTGGAAGATGAAGAACAAAAGGTTGGGTCCATTTATTAGAGCATTTCCAGTCATGCTACTAAATTTTACGGTTTTTTATGACTTATTATTACCACGTCATTCCACATAAGGAAATCTCAAATAATCTATAAATTGATTAATTTTTCCTCAACCATAATTTTAATTTATCTAGATTTTTTATGAGAAATACATTCAATTTTAAAGTGAGAAGCAGCAAAGAAGACAGATTAAAGCTCAATCACCGGAGGTGAAACCTCAAGTTTGGCGATGGGCCGATGGCACTTGCCTGAACTCTGGTGCAAACATTTGAGCGGATGGTCCAGGCTGGAAGATGAAGAACAAAAGGTTGGGTCCATTTATTAGAGCATTTCCATTCATGCTACTAAATTTTACGGTTTTTTATGACTTATTATTACCACGTCACTTCCACATAAGGAAATCTCAAATAATCTATAAATTGATTAATTTTTCCTCAACCATAATTTTAATTTATCTAGATTTTTTTATGACAAATACATTCAATTTTAAAGTGAGTTTGCGAAGTTAATCGATGGATGGTGCCGATTTTAAAGGTGGCAACCAATTTAATGGAGAATGAGGCATGCTGTTTTTAAGGTTCCGTGTCTTTACTGTAAAAGGAGAACAGCACAAGGAGCCAGCTGCCTTCACATTTAATCAAGGGAATGTCGAAAATTGGGAGCAGTGTCTAAAAGTTTGGAAATAGTTTTAAAATAATCTAGATTTAAAATTTGATATCAGATTTTTCCATCAAATAATCTTTTCAAATAATCTTAACAACTCAACCATAATCTCAAAAAATATCATCCACATCATCAAAATAATCCCTAAATAATTTCATGGATGGGGATGCCCTTAATGTAGTGACTTTATTGTCCAATCTAAAATCAGTCTTATTTTTGTCATTTAAAAGTCTCCTACTACTATTCTGGTCATTTTTTCCTTTAAAACTCTTCCTTTATAATTCAAATTACTAATAGGCTAGACATTATCATTAATACATGAGATGATGAAAACGAATATAAAGAAGCATCACAAACCATTGTAATAGGTTAAACTCTTTAAATGAATGTTTTTTACAAGAGGAAAGTAACTAAAAACATGGTAATAAATTTATATGAAGCAAAGGATGTCCAAGTGAACGTGTTTTTCTCAACTTTTCATGTTTATTAGTTTCTTTATTACTTCGTACTAATTAATCAGTAATTTTACTAATGAATAACTTGTCATGATTCTTAATATCCAATTAAAAAATACGTTAGGATATATACTTATTTTATACAAGAACACAACTCCACAATAAATGGATTTTCCCTAGCCTAATTGTAATAATATACTTCATATACTATTTGAATAATAATAGGCCTTTTGGCCTAGATAATACGGAGTACTAAAAATAGGATAAAAGACAAAAAGTGATATTTTTTGAGAAATTCCAAAAATGTGACCAACATCACAATTAACCCTGCATTGTAAAGTGACTCCGGCCAAAGTGATTGTGCCGCCACAGTGACTCCACCCGACAGCGACTATGCCGCCACAGTGACTCCACCCGCTAATGGCTATGGCCGCCCCGACCAAAGTGACTTCCTGCCCGTCAGTCACAGTGACTTCAGACAAAGGGACTGCCCGCCCAACTCCCACAATGACTACCCGCTCAACTCCACCACCGCTGTCCATGCCAAAAACCATCATTGTCCATGCCAATCCCAGCCCCTCTTCTACACCAACCCCAACCCAGCCCCCTCTCCCACCTACCCCAGCCCTTAACCCAACTGTGACTACTATAACCGGCCACCCTCATCACTCCGGTCCTCTACCACCCCTGCCCAAACCTCTTCCCCAACTACCCAGCCCCCATCCCTTACCAAATCGATGCCTCTCAACCCGCCCCCTACAATCGATGCAGCCTTCCATCATTCCTGCCCCAAATTCTTGACCCGACCACTGACGGAATCACACCGGCACCTAGCCCATCCCAACCCACTCCCCTGCTTCAGCCTCGTCATGACCCCTTCCATTTCCCCCGTAAACCATAGCCGCTTCAAATCCCTACAATATGCACCTCCATCATTGATCTGAAAGACTATGAAAATCTGGCGACGAATTGAAGAGGGGAAGAAGAGCGGCGGAGAAGAGGAGAAGAAGAGCGGCGTAGGCGGACGAAGCAACAAGTAGATGATGGATTGTGCAAGCTGCAAGGAAAGGCGCGAAGGAGGGTGAATGGGAACTGCTCGATGCGGCGAAATGGGTTTGGGGAAAAAGCTCCGATGCGTGAAGGACGATTCAGTTTTTTGGGAGAAGTCAAACAGGTGGTCGCACGGGTGCCATTATTGGATAATAATACTCCCTCCGTCCTAAATTATTAGGCACTTTACGGTTTACAATGTTTGACCGACGATAAAGCATATTGATCACTGTCAACACTCAAATTAGTTTTAGAAAATAAAATTTACTTATTCAGAAATTATATTAAAATCACTACAAAGCCCGCAAAAAAGGAAAAATTGATAGTAATAATCCCAACTATTGGCGGTCCGCCTATAATAATCCCAACTATCGATTATTTCAGAATAATCCCAACTTTAGGGACCTTCTGCCATTAATGGTCCCTATAAATAAATTGTTGTGGTTTCTAAAGTGGATGAGAAGAGATATAACAAGTAATCTCTATAAATATTCCCAACTTTTAATTTTTACGCTTAATTTCTATTTAAAATTCACTTTTTATAGGAGGTAATATTTGGTCATGGACCATTATTGGCGGACGGTCCATATAGTTGGGATTATACAAAAATAATCAATAGTTGGGATTATTATCTGCGGACCGGCAATAGTTGGGATTATTATTTTCAATTTTTCCCGCAAAAAATAATTGAAATTTCATAAATTTCGATATATAAAGTAAGAGATTAAGAGTGATTTGCGTTGACCAAGTGAATAAGAAAAATATCTTATAAAATTAGACTGAGCAAGTAATATCTTAAGATAGGATAACATAAATTACCTTAAGTAAAATCCATGATATATTTTCATTTACACTAACATGATTTCAGTTTTTTATTAATACATGTAACATTCTGTTTAGTATGTGAACTTATGTATGGATAGCAAAAATTGTAAATCGCAAAACTTGATCTGAAATAAGATAAAACATCCTTTTCAACAAGAATTTCCCAAATTTAAAATACATATTGTTTCAGACTAGAGATCTCTAAGAACATCTAAACGATATTCAGAAATTGTTTAAAACAGTGATTGAAAAACTTAACCTATAGCACTGTGTGAAGACTCCTATCGTTGGGATTTTCCCCAAACTCAACAACTCAAGACAACACATTGAGGCTTAAGCCTTGAGGCTTTCTAGCTTCCCTTCGCAGTAAAGCATGTCTTTAGGATCACGTCTTTAAACCAACCATGTTAGAGAAATATATATGCATTTTCTATGTAAAGAGAACTGTAACTGAATGACTTGTAAACTTCACGGGATAGACACGACAACTGCATTTTCATTATCAATATTATATGACCAATAAATCTGATTTGGTCTTCATTTTCTGAAAGTTCACTTTTCATTACAAAAAGTCTTTTTGGGCTTCCAACTTGTGCAAATTGTTATGAATGGAGAAAAAGGAAAAACTTATAGAATAAAGGAGGATTGTAACAAGTCGTAAATCCCAGACCACTTTCCAAGAGACTTTCCTTCGATCAATAACAATTCCAATAAAGACGTTCTCAAATATGGCAACCATGCATGTTAGCGTGGTTGCACAATATTTGTAAGAGAATAATTTGAAGAGTTTAACCTTCAAAATCTAATAATTTCAAGCAGAATATCTTGTTAGATTTACAGCATAAAAAGTCAGTAATAGAAATTGATAGTGGATCGATAATAGTTATTATTGATTACCTGTGTACCAAACCAAAGACCTTGCTCAAACAGCTCAATACAAGTAACACCGTTCCACACCCCAAACTGAGTTTTCTTGTAGGGAGGTCTTCGTGACCGTTGGTATTTAGATGAATTTGCTTGCCTTGGTACAATATAGTGGTTAATGCATCACCTAGGCAGACTATCACGCCCAAGAGTATCATCTTTCCACCCTTAGTTTTAAGTGTTAATTTCTCAACACTTCAATGCAAAAGAAAAACAATAATGTGATCACTTTAATTTGTACAAACTTGTTTTTTACTAATAAATTTAGCATCTTACCGAGTGATAATGGAGATGGTGAAAGTTGCTATAGGAGTTAATGTAAGAAAGTTTGTCGCATACGTGGCTGAAGTGTTTTTTATTCCATAGAATAGGAATCCCATAGCCATGGTGATCCTGCCAATTCTATAAGTTCATAAGCTCATGTCATTTTAACAAGCTTCAACATTAAGTAGTCTTAACTGCTATGATATGTAAAGAATTATAAAATAAAATTTAAATATACGAATATATTCTAATAATAGTCAATCAACATTTTATGTGTACTGATCCTTTCTACGTTTAGAGACAATAATGGATGAGATTTTTTCGTACAATTCACCATTTGCAATAACTATTTTGATGTATTTTAAGTAACTACTAACATCCCCATAGTTAGTGCAAATGGTGAATGGTACGAAAAGGTCTCTTCAATCATTGTACCTAAACGTACAAAAGATCAATAAACATATAAAATGTTGATTGACGTACTACTTTTGGAAATTATTTGTATCTTTGAATTTTATTTTATAATTTGATATGTATCATAGCAGTTAAGACTACTTGACGTTGAAACTTGTTAAAATAACATGAGCTTATAAACTTATTGAATTGACACGATCACCATGGCTATGAGATTCCTCTTCTATGGAATTAAAAACACTTCAGTCACGTATGCGACAAACTTTCTTACATTAACTCCTATATCAACTTTCACCATCTCCATTATCACTCGGTAAGATGCTAAATTTACTAGTTAAAAACAAGCTTGTACAAATTAAAGTAATCACATTATTGTTTTTGTTTTGCATTGAAGTGTTGAGAAATTAACACTTAAAACTAGGGGTGGAAAGATGATATTCTTGGGTGTGATAGTTGACGTGCACTTTGTCACGGTGCGTCAAAATAAATTCAATACTAACATTTATACGTAGTATAGCGTAGTAGAGTTCGTATCCACAGGGAAAGGAATAATTCTCTTTTTATAGAACTAGTAAATAAAAGGGGGGTTTAGGATTGAATGATTTAATTTAATTAAACAGAAAGATGAACAACTTAAATGTGATTTAATTCAAAGATAAAAAGGACTTGGCATTGCTACTTTCCACTTGTTGATATATTTTAGTCGATCATTGTTATATCTATAACTTATCCCCTCTCAAATACTCAATCGAGGAGTATATTCAATTCATCGAGGGTAGTTATTAACAACGACCGTTCATTAATAACCCTTACTATTAGTCAAGTATAGAACACCGCCATATACCGACTTGATAGTAGCATTTAATCTCTTAACTCCTTGATGAAATCAATTGAGATTGATAACCTCAACACAACAGTTTCGGTTTAACCAACAAAATTAATCCCTCTTAAGTTTATTAACCACGACCGTGCATTAATAAACCGAAGTTACTTACTTGTGAAACCATCAACGATTAACCATCGGTTCGTTGAACGTTTCTAGTAGTAATTAATGTTGAGATGTTAACTAATTGTCATCTTAGCAACACTCCCCAACATTAACATAGAGATAGATCAAGGGAAGAATTAATATTCAAGGAAGAAGATTAAATATGAATAATCCTACTATAACTAATGTCAAGATGTTATCTAATTGTCATCTTAGTAACACTCCCCAACATTAATATATAGAGGAAGAAAATAAATACTACTATAACTAATGTCGAGATGTTAACTAATTGTCATCTTAGCAACACTCCCCAACATTAATATATAGATAGATTAAGAGAATAATTAATATTCAAGGGAAGAAGTTAAGAAAATAACTCACAACTTTAATAATCAACAAGCTTCAAGAGCAACACCAAGAAATGGAAGTTTAGCTCCTCATTTGGAGACTAAACATGCTATAAAAATATAAAAGAAATACTATTCTAAACTGAGCTTAAGAGTATGGAAGAAGGGGTGATTAAAAGTGAAGGAAAATGGGGTTATTTATAGGTGTTTTCAACACCTAATGCCGGATACCCGGCCGGGTATTTTGACATACCCGACCGGGTATTTACCAAATCAAATATTTTCCCATGTTTTTGTGTCTTCTGCACGATCTTTGGTCCGAAATCACTTCATACCCGACCGGGTATATGGAATACCCGACCGGGTATTTGCTAGTTTTGCAGCAATTTCCTTTGTCACTTCATACCCGTCCGGGTAAAGTCCATACCCGACCGGGTTTTGCATAAAACTCAAGTTTTTCCATCCTTCGTGCTTCCAAACCTATCCTAAACTTATAGCTCAACTAACTATAACTTACAACAAACAATAAAGTACTAAAAATACGATTACAATCAAATGAAAACTAACAACTACAAACTTGCATAATACTAGTGAATAAATATTACAAATGATAATAAAAATGTACACTTAGGCACTAATAACTAGTGCCTATCAAACACCCCCGCACTTGAACTTTTACTCGTCTCGAGTAAAACAAATCCTGTCCATGAAGTTTACAAACCAACAATAGTAGCAATCACAACCATTCACAAGTGTTTTTGAAAGTCAACATAAAAATGTTTCAATGATCAAAACACATAAAAGGGTTTTCAACACCATTGGTTTTCCCTTCTTTTGCTTCCTCATGTATATGCCCTTAGGATCCTGCAAAGATAAAAGAAAATACTTTCTCTCATTCTCTCATTTTGCCTAGGTGCCCTTTCGGGTTTTCATCCCAGCTTCCCACATTTTCCTTTTTATTCTCACCAACTCACTCTTCTTTTTGCTTTTGTTTTGCTTAAGTTGCCCTTTTGGGTTTTCAACCTAACAAGCTTATAATTTTTTTTTTTTTTTTTGTTTTTTTTTTTAAGAGAATAAGAATGAAGAGCATGAAATGGGAGCATACCGGAATAGTTCTCCCCCCCAGCTAGTTCATGGCACTGTCCCTAGTGCCCGCCCGCATCTCCTCCGTCAAAGTAGCCTCCATAGCCTCCATAGCTAGTTCATGGCACTCTCGGATGAGTTGGGTGAGAAATTTCTTGTGATGAGCCGTAGAGGTGAATTCGATGCCTTCATACCCGAGAACTTGCGGAATTGGAGCACTTGAGTTGGAGGAAGATGCTCTAGTTCTCTTTGGTGCCATAGTTGCCCTTTTGCTTGAACTTAGTTTAGGAATTTCGGACTTGGCTTGGAGGGTTTTAAAAAAAAATTCGGATTTTTCGGTTTTGGGTGTTTTTGAGGGTGTGGAGATATAGAGAATGATGGAAAGAACATGAAATTGGGTTTTCTTTGGATTAATTTGAGCAAAAATCGGACCTTGGAGAGTTTGGGTAGGGTTTTCGGATTTTGGGGTTGAGGGGGATTTGATGGTTGTGTTTGGTGTAGAATTGGAGAGGGTGATGTGGGGAAGAAGATTATGGTGTTAATTTTGGTTTTTAAAGGAAGAAAAGGGGCGGATTCGAAGCTTGGAGACTCAACAATGGAGGTTTTAGGAATGAGCTCTCAACATTTGGGGAAGAAGATGAAGGTTTGGGGCTGATTTGGGGTTAAAATGCCCGTATACCCGGCCGGGTTTTCGTTTTCGCTGAGGCAGAAGAAGTTTTGCACGAATACCCGGCCGGGTATTGGTTTTACCCGAATGGGTTTTTCGTTTCTGCTTAAGCAGAGGCAGTTTTGCCCGTTTACCCGGTCGGGTTTTATAGTTTACCCGGCCGGGTTTTTGCCCAGGCATGAAAAAAAACATTTTTTTTTTTTTCACACACCCTTCTTTAAATCAAAAAAATGATATAGAAAACATACCTTGCTTGGGTTGCCTCCCAAGAAGCGCTTTATTTAACGTCGTGGCTCGACGTTATCATTGTGTTCAGTCATTCAAACTTGGATCGTGATAATTAATTTTCTTCAAATTTTCACTCCTAGGACCTCCATAGGAGTGCTCAATTTCTCGACTCTCCACTTTGGAAATCTTTCCAGGATCAAATATCCAGATTTTCATTGATTTATGTGGTGGGAGGAAGGGGAAGAAATTATCATGTAGTATGGTCAATGAAAAGTTTTTCGATCCCTCAATTTTGAAGGAGATTTCAGAAATGTCATTTTCCATTTCAAGTTTACGAGATTCTCTTAAAGCTTCCAGAGATGATGGAGATACCTCAAAGGATGACAATGACAAAAATTTGAATTTGAAGCTCAGCTTATCCTCTTCATTGACCAGTTGGAGCTCCGTGTCTTTTTCCTCCTCTACTTCTTCTGCATTCTGGATCTCCTTTTGCATTGCCTTCTCATTTGTCGATGTGATTGCAAAAGTTTGCTGTTTAGGATCACATTCTATTTGAGAGGGAAGTTTCCCCGAATCTCTTGCTTCAAGTCTATTCACAGCTTCAACTATTTGACTCATTTGAGTTTCCAAGTTTAGAATGCTAGACTTGGTCTCATTTTGGAATTCCACAATGTTTTGTTGCATGGTGGTCATGTTGGTAGCAAGAGTCAGAATAATGTCTTCCGTGGACATGTTAGAGGTCGAGAACGGGTCATACCTCATGTGAGGTTCCTTCCCTTGGAAACCAACATCATCATCGATTCGTTCGAAGTATTCTTCTTGGAGCTTCGGGCAAAAATCCGTAAGATGCCTGTGAGACATGCAAATGTTGCATGTCTCGACATCTTGAGCTTTTGAGTTTAATATAAATTCCTTTATTAGAGAAGTCAAAGTGGAAATTTGACTCTCTAAGGATGTTATATTGGTATCCATATTCTCATAACTCATGTAAGCTTAGAAAATAGAAGAGTAAGATTTTTTTTTTTTTTATAATTTTTATTTTTATTTTTTTTTTTGTTTTTGATTTTTATGAGATAAAATAAAAAGAAAAATAATTGCCTTTCCCCGGCAACGGCGCCAAATTTGACGTGCACTTTGTCACGGTGCGTCAAAATAAATTCAATACTAACATTTATACGTAGTATAGCGTAGTAGAGTTCGTATCCACAGGGAAAGGAATAATTCTCTTTTTATAGAACTAGTAAATAAAAGGGGGGTTTAGGATTGAATGATTTAATTTAATTAAACAGAAAGATGAACAACTTAAATGTGATTTAATTCAAAGATAAAAAGGACTTGGCATTGCTACTTTCCACTTGCTGATATATTTTAGTCGATCATTGTTATATCTATAACTTATCCCCTCTCAAATACTCAATCGAGGAGTATATTCAATTTATCGAGGGTAGTTATTAACAACGACCGTTCATTAATAACCCTTACTATTAGTCAAGTATAGAACACCGCCATATACCGACTTGATAGTAGCATTTAATCTCTTAACTCCTTGATGAAATCAATTGAGATTGATAACCTCAACACAACAGTTTCGGTTTAACCAACAAAATTAATCCCTCTTAAGTTTATTAACCACGACCGTGCATTAATAAACCGAAGTTACTTACTTGTGAAACCATCAACGATTAACCATCGGTTCGTTGAACGTTTCTAGTAGTAATTAATGTTGAGATGTTAACTAATTGTCATCTTAGCAACACTCCCCAACATTAACATAGAGATAGATCAAGGGAAGAATTAATATTCAAGGAAGAAGATTAAATATGAATAATCCTACTATAACTAATGTCAAGATGTTATCTAATTGTCATCTTAGTAACACTCCCCAACATTAATATATAGAGGAAGAAAATAAATACTACTATAACTAATGTCGAGATGTTAACTAATTGTCATCTTAGCAACACTCCCCAACATTAATATATAGATAGATTAAGAGAATAATTAATATTCAAGGGAAGAAGTTAAGAAAATAACTCACAACTTTAATAATCAACAAGCTTCAAGAGCAACACCAAGAAATGGAAGTTTAGCTCCTCATTTGGAGACTAAACATGCTATAAAAATATAAAAGAAATACTATTCTAAACTGAGCTTAAGAGTATGGAAGAAGGGGTGATTAAAAGTGAAGGAAAATGGGGTTATTTATAGGTGTTTTCAACACCTAATGCCGGATACCCGGCCGGGTATTTTGACATACCCGACCGGGTATTTACCAAATCAAATATTTTCCCATGTTTTTGTGTCTTCTGCACGATCTTTGGTCCGAAATCACTTCATACCCGACCGGGTATATGGAATACCCGACCGGGTATTTGCTAGTTTTGCAGCAATTTCCTTTGTCACTTCATACCCGTCCGGGTAAAGTCCATACCCGACCGGGTTTTGCATAAAACTCAAGTTTTTCCATCCTTCGTGCTTCCAAACCTATCCTAAACTTATAGCTCAACTAACTATAACTTACAACAAACAATAAAGTACTAAAAATACGATTACAATCAAATGAAAACTAACAACTACAAACTTGCATAATACTAGTGAATAAATATTACAAATGATAATAAAAATGTACACTTAGGCACTAATAACTAGTGCCTATCAATAGTCTGCCTAGGTGGTGCATTAACCACTATATTGTACCAAGGCAAGCAAATTCATCTAAATACCAATAGTCATGAAGACCTCCCTACAAGAAAACTCAGTTTGGGGTGTGGAACGGTGTTACTTGTATTGAGCTGTTTGAGCAAGGTCTTTGGTTTGGTACACAGGTAATCAATAATAACTATTATCGATCCACTATCAATTTCTATTACTGACTTTTTATGCTGTAAATCTAACAAGATATTTCTGCTTGGAATTATTTGATTTGAAGGTTAAACTTTTCAAATTATTCCTTTACAAATATTGTGCAACCACGCTAACATGTATGGTTGCCATATTTGAGAATGTCTTTATTGGAATGGTTTTTGATCGAAGGAAAGTCTCTTGAAAAGTGGTCTGGGATTTGTGGCTTGTTACAATCTTTTATTCTGTAACTTTTATCTTTTTCTCCATTCATAACAATCTGCACAAATTGGAAGCCCAAAGATGCCTTTTGTAGTGAAAAGTGTACTTTTCAGAAAATGAAAATTGAATCGGATTTTTTTGTAGACAAGACAACTTGTCTACTCCTGTGAAGTTTATAAGTCATTCAGTTACAATTCTTTGTACACAGAAATATATATATATATATATATATATATATATATATATATATATATATATATAGAGCTATTTCGGTCAGGAATTTCCGGACCGGAGCCCCGTCCGGCCTCCTCCATTTGGGGGCCTTCCCAGTGGTATTTTTTGCTCAATTTTTTTTTGTATGTTCCTCATCTAGTCTAGTTCATCCATACCAAATTTGAGCAAAACATTCAATCAGTAAGGTCGTCAAATGATTTTTGCAAGTTAACTGGTCCGAAATATGTATTTTACTTAGTGTAAATGAAAATATATCATGGATTTTACTTAAGGTAATTTATGTTATCCTATCTTAAGATATTACGGAGTATTATTATTCAAATAGTATATATTTTTATAATTAGGCTAGGGAAAACCTATTTATTATGGAGTTTGTGTTCTTTTATAAAATAAGTATATCCTAACAAAACATATATTAATTGGATATTAAGAGTCATGACAGGTTATTCATTAGTAAAGTTACTGATTAATTAGTACAGAGTAATAAAGAAACTAATAAACATGAAAAGTTGAGAAAAACATGTTCACTTGGACATGCATTGCTCCATATGAATTTATTACCATGTTTTTAGTTATTTTCCTCATGTATAAACATTCATTTATAGAGTTCAACCTATAACAATATTTTGTGATGCTTCTTTATACTCGTTTCCATCATCTCATGTATTAATGATAATATGTAGCCTATTAGTAATTTGAATTATATAGGAAGAGTTTTAGAGGAAAGAATGACCAGAATATTAGTAGGAGACTTTTAAATGAAAAAAATAAGACTGATTTTAGATTGGACATTAAAAAATGAACCCAGCCTTTTGTTCTTCATCTTCCAGAGTTCAAATGTTTGCACCAAAGTTCACGCAAGTGCCATTGGCCCATCGCCAAACTTGAGGCTTCAACTCCGGCGATCGAGCTTTAACCTGTCTTCTTCGCTGCTTCTCACCTCTTCGCATCCGGTCATCCCTGCTTGTCACCTTCATCACTAACGTGATGCCATCAAAGCAGACGGAGATCACCAGTATGATGCTGACGAGTAGCGATGACAAATGCAATTTCCTTTATCAATACGACGCCGACGGGAATATCTCTTTTATTTCCTTAAGTAAAACCTTAATTTATGGCATTCACTTCGCAATTGTCTTGTGTTAATTCTTAGAAATGTTTGTTTCTTCATTAAAAATTATATAAAATATTTCAATATAGTCATAGCTAGAAATCCAATTTGAATAAAAAGTTTAATATTTACTGTGTTATATCTGATTCCGTAAATATGCGAATGTAAGGTGTTACAGATTGTATAACCAAGCCCATTCCCGAAATTGTTTGGGTCCTTTTATGATGGGCCGCGAGTTTTTTTGTACTTCTGTGGGCTGCACGTGTCCTATTCTGTTGGGGGTTAGGTTTTACTCTCTATAAATACAAGCTTTATCCTTGTAATCATTGATCCGAAATTCATAGCAATATCCTGGCTTGGTAGCGTCCCCAGACGTAGTCATTCGTGGCGAACTGAGTTACCAAATTTTGTGTGTTCTTATTGTTCTTCTTAAACCACCTTACAAATTTATAAAACAATAGCTAGAATGGATGACTCCAAATAATTGGATTTTTCTAAACTTTTCTTGTGGCAAAGGTAAGGCAGTTTGAAACTCACCAACATTCTTCATTTCACTGGTTGTTTTTAATCTTTCAGCTGAACCAAGTTTTCACCCCATTGTTCCAAACATGCATTTTAACCAAGGAAGTATGTATATATGCTAGTGTTTACACAATTAGCTTCCTATCACCATTGGCAAATATCGCCAACACATCGACAAGCAAAGAAAAACTCATTCTTTCATTGATAAAACAGTAATCCTGGCAACATATTTACAATTGTGTGTTAGTGTCCTTTAAATCATTCTTGGTGTACCCACTTTTGTACACTACCTGTGTACACATGCAATTGGGAGACGAATCTGCCTTTTTCTTAATTCAGAATCAATTGTTTAAGGAATGACACCTTTTGGGCATCCACTTGCCATGCTACAGCCCCTCCTGCACTCTGTACTCCCTTGTAAAATCCAGCATACCTACACTAAAAACATTTTTAGCAATCCTGATGGCACATCTTGAAATAAGTGTAAAATTGGAAATATGTATGATGATGATGATGATTGTAGTACCTTCCAAGGAAATACTCCATATGAAATAAGTGTAAAAATGTAAGGAGTAATTTTTTCAACAAAATTATGTTTAATATGTATGATGAAATTAGTGTAAAACTGGAAATATGTATGATTATGATCCAATACAACACAAAGGGTCCTGCAAAATTCGACCCGTCCTTGAAATCATGCTTGTGAGCAGGCATTTCATCACGCGAATAACACCAACGACCGCAATCCCCACCAATCCCCTTGTCCTCCTACTCTTGAAGGTGAAATCCATTATGAACCCAATGAACACTGACCCAATCACCCAATCATCTGAGCACCCCAGTAAAACACATTGTTCAAACCCCTTGTTCTTAAATTAAACAACGCCCTGTTCACATTGGTGAACTGATAGCTGTAGAAAAAATTGCTTGCCAAAGATGCAGGAACCAGCAATAGCATCCTCCAGTTCAAGAAAAGCTTTGAGATCTCTTTGAACTCAACTCCTACACTGGAGTATTTGATGTTTGTACATGTCGTTCCATCACCGCAGACAACTCGATTGGTATGGAGAATCGCCAGTGATAGAAACGTTATTAACAGAGACTGCATATGTCTGATTGTAATTCGATATGAAGGGGATAAGCCCACCAATTACATCGCCCATGTTGAAAATGCTCCAGAACATGGAGATGTAGGTTCCCTTTCCGGTTATGGGGAGGGTATGAGGTCATTGAACATTCGGGGACAACAGAAGCAAACCAGACCGACCAACCAGAGGCGAGTATTACCTCATAACCAAGGTGTTTCGAGGTGTCTCCGACGAACCTCCGCCGTTTACTACACCTTTCTGCCGGTCCATGGCAGAAGAATGATCTGAGATATCAAGACATTTAAGAATGGAAAATTCGTTGTGTGCACGCCCGGTTACACAGCTGTGTACACAGCACAAAAAGCCCCACCCCCCTCTTTGCAACCGTATAAATCCCCACCACTCTCTCTCTCCCTTTTATTCGAAAATGAAAACGCTTGTGCACCCCTCTCTCACATTTATTCTTTTGTTCCGTTTTTTTCTTTTGTATGTCATTTGTATGGTGGCGACGATGAAATTGGTCTGGGCTGGACATGGGAGGAGATATTCGGTCCGAGTCCCGGGGACACGCCAGCTGCGATGGAAGTATTTGAAGATGAGACGGAAGCCATGATGCAAGGCCATGAGGACACGACAAAGAGTGCGCAGGAAGGAGTTGAACACACTCCGGAAGGCGATGAAGGGACGGCGGATGGGAAAGCTGTGGAGGCTGAGCAAGGTTGGTGTTTATTTAGCGTCGTTTCT